TATATATATATATATATATTGTTTTTTAATTAAAAACTCCATAAGACACTTGGGAAACATATTCAGTAACCCTCTTGCTGGTCTGAGGTTTATTTAAAATTCTTTGTATTTTACAACTTAAATTGTTACATGGAGACAATGTTCATGATAGTGCTTGAGGACTATGAACTCTCATGTGCAAACAGGTGTTTCCCCCCCACCTCCCCCAGTGAAGTCAACTGAATTGAATATATGGAATAATGTAGAATGAACTGTTAAATATTTTTTGTAATTGTTAGCATAGCAGAATGTACACTAGATACAAACTGGAAAATCCAGATGAGATCAAGTCTCAGAAATTGTGTCAGCTTTGTTATGCAACCTTGGATATTTTACTCTCCTTAAGAGCCTTAGTTTTTACATAAATTAAATGAATTAAATGGCAGGAAAGAATTGTTCTAAGAGCTGTATATACTCTTATTAAATTAAAAACTTACAGGAAACCAATACAGAGAAGAGAGTGGAAAAATGTGGACATATGTCATTGAGGTAACAGTGGGCTCCCACCTGCCTAGGCTTCCCATTTTCATCCCTCCCTGACCTCAGGACAGAGCACAATTTAAAAATCACTTTAGATGATCTGCCATGCTGCTTCTTTCTCTAGGAAACCTTCAATGGAAGCTGAAAAGGTCAATCCCTCTCCTGGTGACTGATTTTTCCAGAGCATCCAACAATACTTAGTTGATTATATGTTCCCCAGCTTTGGGAAAAAAAAGAAAGAAAGAAATGAAAAAAAAAATAAAAAAGTAAAATTACAGTTGAAAAGAATGGACATTCTTGATAAGAAATAGAGTGGCATTATTCATGATGCCAACACAAAAGAAAGTGATGTGCAATCAGAGCCCTATGTAGATCTCCAACCTTTCATGTTAGGTTGAAAAAAAAACCACGGGAGTCTGGAATGTAGGATGATCACTTTTTTTGTTTTAATCAAATCAAGATGCCTCTAAGTATTCAGGCCTGATAAATGATAAAGTTTGTAGTTGTTTTGCTATAGATTTTACAGCTAATACCTGTTGAAAAATGATTTCCTTGCATTGACTTAAACTCTATAGATAGTATCGTCTTTTAGGAATGGGATTGGACCCTATATGCTCTGTATTTACAGTGTAAAATACATGAACAAGCATTGGTGATACAACTGGAAGCTATAAATTTACTTTAAAGAGTAATAATTCCTATAACTTATAATATTTTAATATTTTATTAGTATTTACCACTTACTGAGTGTTTAACATGTATTAAGGACTATGTTATCCATCCTCTCTTTACATTATCACAGATAATCTTCATAATAGCCTATCAGAGAAGAATAAACTCCATTTTATAGATGAAGAAACTGAAGGGTCAGTTTCTTGCTTATTTGTTTATTACCTGTTGTCACACAACTGTAAATAGACAGTAAATACTGAAACTGACTCCAAAATCAGGTTTAGAACTGTCATGCTAAATTAGAACTTATGATGTCTTGATATTACACATTTTGATTAAAGAAGGTGGAGAAACCACTTGTGTTTAAGAGTTATAAAAACACAGAGCACTTAGGTGGCTCAGTCAGTAAAGTGTCTGACTTTGGCTCAGGTCGTGATCTCACGGTTTGTGAGTTTGAGCCCCACACTGGACTCTGTGCTGACAGCTCAGAGCCTGGACCCTGCTTCAGATTCTCTGTCTCTATTTCTCTCTACTTCTCCCCCCCTCGCTCTCTTTCTCTCTCTCTCTCTCTCTTTCTCTCTCTCTCTCTCTCAAAAATAAACAAACATTAAAAAAAGTTTTTTTAAAGAACTGTAAGAATAGAACAAGCATCTTATATTTTTACTGGGCTTCAGTTTCTTGTGTTTGAAACTAGAGGATTGGATTAGACTAGGGTTTTTAAGCTCAGCAATATCGACATTTGGGACTAGATAGTTCTCTGTTAGGAGGAGGCTGTTCACTGAGCAGAAAGATGTTTGCCAGCATTCTTGGCCTCTATTCACTAGATACCAGTGCTAATCCCCTCCTCCCGGTTTTGACAATCCAAAAAATATCTACAGACATTGCCAAAGATCCTCTGGGGGAAAAACTGCCTGAGTTTTAAGAACCATTGTACTAAGGGCACCTGGGTGGCTCAGTCAGTTAAGCATCCAACTTTGGTTCAGGTCATGATCTTATGGTTTGTGGATTCGAGCTCCGCATTGGGATCTATGCTGACTGCTCAGAGCCTGGAGCTTGCTTCAGATTCTGTATTTCCCTCTCTCTCTGCCCCTACCCCATTCATGCTCTGTCTGTCTCTCTCTCTCTCAAAATGAATAAACATAAAAAAATTTAAAAAAAGAACCACTGTACTCAAAGAACTCTGATATCATTTTTGTTCTCTGATATTCTATGCTCTGAATTGTGGGTCCAACTTCAGCCACTGTGGGGTACTCGCTCAGTGAGCCATTTTCTACCTTCAGCTCAGTACATTGAACTTAAAACTCTCTGAAGCTCTCCAGGTTCAGTTTGCTATAAAACTGCCACTCTCTGGCTCTTAAATTCATCATTTAAATGCAAACTGTCATGAAAAAAATAGGGTAGATGAAAGTAAAAAGTATCAGATGTTATCTTATTAGGTCAGCTTTTCATTAGGGCAATTGATTTAGATTCAGTTCAAATTGCAGTCCTATGAGATAGTGTTATTTATTATTATATATATATATATAATACATATATTATATATATATAACTTATTTATTTAACTGAAGCTACTATATCAGAAAAATCATAAAATGGTTTTTAAAAGCATTCTTTTCTTTCACAGCCTGAGAGAGAACCTATTGACAGATTCTAATAAGTGAAACATCAGGCACTGTAAAGAAATTGACAATTTTCTAGACCCATGGGTCATTAGCCATCAAGGGCCATACTTAAAATTTGCATCTTTACAAACATCATCTCCTGGCAAAGAAGTGCCTTTGATTAGAGAATAGTCCAAAAGAGACAGAGAGAGTGAGAGTGAGAGAGAGAGAGAGAGAGAGAGAGAGAAAGAGACCTATGGATATTTGAAAACTGTAGTGAGTTAAAGCTTTCATTGGGTTTGCTCCAAATAAAACTTAACTGTAGAGATTATTTGTGATGTGCTATCCTTGGAATTCAATTGAAGTCAGAAATATTAAAATTTCAATTAAATAATGATTGATCTGGTTAATAATACCAGATAGTTTAAAAGTATTACTGTTTTCCTAGTTTCATTACTATGAGCTATTTATTAAATTCAACACTATGCACTACTTTATAAACACTGTTTATGGCAGATATTAAAATAAGGCCTTGTTTTTTGGTCTATATTGAAGGATTTAAATTTGGGCTATGGGAAAATACATATATAAATATTCTGTTTAATGCAGAAAGTTTGATAGAGGAAGCCAGGTGAAGTAACATTTAGGTAGTAAAGAGGGTTGGATCCATTGGGACTGCTGTCAAAAACCTCTAAATGAAGATTCTAAATCTTGGCTGCAAATTAGCAAAAGGTTTGAAGAATATTTTAAAAATTATGATACCCAGGCATACTCCAGCACATTCAAATAAGAATTTCTGGGAAAGGAATCCAGACTTCAGTATTTGTTAATGCTCTCCCAGTCATTCGATTGGGCACCCAAGGTTGAGAATCATTGCCTTATAGATTAAATAGCATTTACAACCACATGGAAATTGTTCTTTGATTATGTGTAACAAGCAAGATGGTGGTCTCTTACAGTCACATGCTTCAGTGACTTTAAGTGGTACATGTGCAAGGCATTAAGTAATTATCTGTCACTTAAGGAGAAATTTATTTTTTTTTTTACCCTCCACTTCTCTTTTTATCCTTCTGATGACTTCAAAGAGAAAGCCTTCATTTATTGCTGGTGGATCTTTAGTATATCTCTGCACTTGTCTATCTCCCTTTTAAATCAGAGAGAACAGGCTCAGGCCCAGAGTCTTCATCTAGTGTAGCCTAGAATTCACTTCAATAGTTTTAGGTTTATTACTTAAGATTATCTTCCAGCAAGTAATACTGATTTAAGTGATACAAAATTTCCTTTTTAAAAAACTTAAAGTGAGTAAATGCACATAAGGTATAAAATAGTACATATTATACTCATATATGAAAAAATTCACAAAGGTAGTTCTCCGATGACTATGGTTTGGGCAACCCTAGTGTTAAGGTAAAGGGCATCCAAATGTAACATAAGTTTTGGCCATAATTGTGCCTCCATCACTAATTAACATTGTGATTTTGGAAAAATTACCCATTCTCTTCCCTGGGCCTTGGTTTCCTCATTTGTTAAACAAGGCCATTAGCCTATATTGCTGGCATTCTTCTACGAGTTTAAGAACCAAGGAGGGCTTGCCCTCTGAATTTACCTTGTTGACATCCAGGCGCATCTTCTCATTGTTGGCACTAGCAGCTTTCTCAGCTGCTTTCTTTTGGCGTTGGGGTCCCCTCCCAAAAAAGATGTAGTTGACCAAAGCATATTCCAGAAGGGCCATGAAAACAAAGACAAAGCACCCCATCAGGTACATGTCAATGGCCTTCACATAGGGGATTTTAGGGAGAGTCTCCCGCAAGTGGGTATTGATCGTAGTCATTGTAAGGACAGTTGTAATTCCTGAAAAAAATGACAAGAGTTAGATTAGTAATGTTCCTGTTTCCTTGCTGATTTCATCATATTTGGAAAGGCTAATTGTGCTCTTTTACTCATTCATACATGCCACAAAATAGCTTACTGGTACATACCTGCCCTGTGATAGGCCCTGGAGACACATTTAAATCATTAATTCATAGTAACATTAATCATTTTGAAGCATTTCCTTTATTTATATTTATATATTTATAGTTATATATCTAGTGGTAGGCTAGAGATGTAAATTAAATGTCATGGTAGACACGTGTGTAGGGTGAGCACCAAGGATACAGAGAAGTCTCTGGTTAAGCCTTGTGATGCAGCAGGAGAGAGGTCAGGAAATGGAGACTTTGGAGCTGAGTACTGAAGGATGAGTGGGAGATACCCAAGTAACAGAGGACTGGAGGTCAAAAGTGAAGGTAGAGAGAGCTTTTATAAAGAGTGCTTTGAAGGGGGGTTGAAAGTACACAGTCCATCAAAAGCATCTCAAGAAAGTCAATGTGGGTACATTATAGGATATGACAGAAAGCATGGTGAGGAGAGTGAAAATTAAGTAAGGCTGCATAATGCAGAGCTGTATATACAGGCCCTAATGGGGAGTCTGAACTTAAAATGAAGGTGAGGTGGGGCCACTGACCAGCTTCAAACAGGGAGACATAGGGACAAATTGTGTTTAGGACAATCATTCTTGTAGTAGTGTGAAGGACAGAGGGAAAAGATACAAGACAGGAAAATGGAATACCAGCTAATAGTTTTTCAGAATAATCTAAGTGATAAAGAGGAAATGAATCAAAATAATCACAATAGTATTGAAATCAGTGACTGCATTATACGGATGGTACGGGCAAACGATTATAAAAATTTGGAAGCTGGAGATGACGGGTAGCAGAGAAGCAGGTATCTAGCCCTCATGTTTCTGGATTGGTCAACGTGGCATGTAATGCACAGATAAGTAACATGGAACCATTATGAGATTCTTTATAGGAAATGGCATACTGGCTCAGGTTATAATTGTTCATCTCACTGAGTGGTCATCTTCAACAGTGAAGAGTAGTTTCCCTCTATAATTGGAGGGATAGAAGACATATGCCGGGCAAAAGCACTAGGAGTCCAGAGTCCTGAATGTGATAAGGTCCACATTTGTAGCAAAATAGTGATGTGAAAACAGCCCAGAGATCAAGATCACACAGATGAGAAGTTGTTTAATCAACATTTGAATGGCCGTCTCTCCGACTCAGAAAGCTGTGTCCTTAACCACTACCCAATAACACATCCCAAAAGTTTCATTTCTATGATATTTTGGGAATGTAAGTTTTCTGATTTAATTTTATCTCTCTATAAAGATCATAATTTTTGCCTTGTTTTTCTACATGCTCATAAAACAACTACAGAAAAAATAAATCTGTGCATCTGATTCTGAGCATGGCCAGAAAAACTCTGTTCTTGCTTTAGGTCTAGGTGTCTTAGAGTTTTCGTATTTTCTCTATAATATCAGTCATTTAAAACATTTCCCAGTTTCACTTTTCATTTCATTATGTCAACTGCAGATTAACCTGTACACGTATATTATAAAACTGACAATGCTAATTTTGCTATCTATCTCAATCTCATTTTAAGATATCTCTGACCAAGTAATAAATTACTCTATCAAAAGATGTTTTACAAATTTCTTTTAAAAAGTGAATTATTTATTTTTCCTGTAATGACATAAAATTATAAAATTAACAGATTTTCACTTTGGAATAATAAGATATTTACAAATTCCATTCATTACTTTATTCAGCAAATATTTACTGAACACCATTCATTGTGTAAGATATCACAGATATAATGGAAGCAAAATTATATATGGACCTTTCTTCAGTGTTTCTTTCAGTACCATGAAGAAAAAGGACATCACAAACCAAATAAATATAAATTATAACTACAGTTGGTCTACAAAGGGAAGTTCTCTGTATTTTAAGAGAAGTTATCACAGAGGACTGGACTCAGTCCAGGAGGTCATTACTTCTCCCTTCCATCCTTGAACCACCACAATCTAATCTCAACACAGCAGTCAAATTTATCCCTTTCAATCTGAAATCAAATCATATCACTTCTATCCTCGATGGCTCTGAAATTTCACTCAGAATAAAAGCAAGGTCTTTATCATGGTTCTGGAACTGCTTCATAATCTTTTAGTCCCTTGTCCCCAACATCATCTTGACTCCTGAACTCACTCTCGCATTCACCTCACTGGCTACCTCACTAATATCCTTGGCACTCTCCTACCTTAGGGCATTTGTAATAGGCTAGAATATTCCCATCCAGACATTTAAGTGACTCTTTATCTTCATGAAGTTTTTGTTCTATTAATAATTTCTGGATGAACTTTACAAATTATAAACTGTTCCTCCTGGCATACGCAACTGCCCTCACCTTGCTTATTCCCTCTATAGACGTACTGTACTACCTAGTTCACATTATAAGTAAAATAAATTTATTGTCCTTTTACTGCTAGCACAAAACTTCCAGAAGGGAACTACTTTATCTCCAGCATCTAGCATGTTTGGCACATAGTAGGTGTTCAACAAATACTTGTTGAATGAAAAAATGAATGACTTCTCTCAGAAGTAATGATTGAATTGAGATCTCATGGTGGAGAAGGTAACAGTCCAACATTTTAAAGGGATTAGTCAGAACTCAAAATAATAAAAATTGTGTAAAATAATCATACTTTACTATTATCTGGAGTTAGTAACAAAAATGTTCATGAAATATAATATATTCTCTTCCTCTGGCATCATATAGAAAAAAAATCAAGCATAAGATAAACGATGCTATGGATGAGTTCCCAGCCATCTTACTTTGTTTTCTTCTGCCCTCTATCCTGCTACTCCAAAATCTTAATAAGACTTTAGAAGTCTTTTTGCTTATCTGTTAGTTACATAATATACTTCCTTGTCTCCTGCTCAGAAAAAAAAAAAAAAAAAAAAAAAAAAAAGATGGAAGGGAGCTCTTTCCAGATAAGGAAGCACAGTATGCAAATTGAAAAATTATCAAGTGATATTACACAAACTATGCGTCAATAAAAATAAAAAAATTGACAGGACTAATTTCATTACCAACTGCTATATGGTTAGCTAATTTTGACATGAAAGAGTTTTAATTTGTATTTAATTGATTTAATGCTGAATCAGATAACCCAAAGTTTCACAGCCAAATTCTTGTAATGTGCATAGCCCAGTCTTATCATGCATTACAAATACCAGGCTAAGCAAAGTGTATGAATGAACATGCATGCGCATACACACACATGCATACACGTGTGCACACACAGAGTCAAGCCCCACAGGCAGTTAGAAAATGGCCTACCTAATGCCACTCTTGCAGCTGATGCATCATAATTAATCCAGAAGGAGACCCAGGAGAGGATAGTGATCAGGATGGAAGGCATGTATGTTTGCAGAATAAAGTAACCAATGTTTCTCTTAAGCTTAAAGCTGAGGGACAATCTGGGATAGGAACCTAGAAAGGCAATTTTAGAATATCATAATTATCAATCAATATTTATAGGATACTTTTCTTTCAAGGCCCATAAATAAGTTTGTAAATCTTCCCTAAATTCAACTTTAGCTCCTGATGAAGGGCACTTGCTCCTGAAAAAGTAGTATGGGAACACTGGTCTTTTAATTAGCAAAAGTTACTTGGTGTTGAGTACACCCATAGTCATGAGTAATTAAAAGAATTCCAGCTCTTCCCTGCTCAGGCTCCTGCACTGGATCAAGGATACTCATTCTCTACAACTATGAAAACAAGACAGTTTGGTACAGTCCCTTTGTTCCCCCTCACTTGTTCCTCAACAAGACCATCCTGTAAGATGTTTTGTTTTTATTTTTTTATATAAGAAATAAGGCTGTACACTCTGATCATATTTTAGAAATCTCTTCACAAGCCCCAGAATTCACTGCACATCTGGGATCAATGGCAAGCTTCAGGTATACAGCAACTCCCTAAAATTGTGTGAAGGTTTTCACATGTATGGATTATATATGTTTGCTAATTCCACTGATTCCATCAAAGTTCTAAAGGGGTGCCTGACTCATCAAAAGGTGAGAATCAGTGTTTCCAAAGAATATTTTTGGGAGATAAAACTAAAGGATCATATTCCTGAGGCTAAATCCTTTGATTGTGATGCTCCAGGAAATTACTCTTTAAACAAAATATGTAACTGAACATCGTTGTAGAATGTCAAAAAGTCACATTGATGAATCGTGTGTGTTAGGGGTGACATTATTAATAATTGAAAGAAAGTCTTGCCTAGCCTTCTTGGGCTCAAGTTAAGTGTTGTAATATTAAAGTAAGAATATTTTAGATATGAACTCATTTCTAGTGTCTCAGGGATTCAGGGACCTCCAATTTAGGAAAAGTTTCTGTTGTTTGTTTTTTAAAGCTAAGGCTACGTTATATTCTTATGAAGTCATACAACTCTTACTTGAAGTAGTTTGCAGGGAAAGGCAGAAGGGTAATTAAAAATGTATAGTTACAGTACTAGCTCTTTTTGTGCCTGGGGAATTCAATCCAATAAGAAAAACATAAGAAAGAAATATTCCTGTGGGTTTACTGTTTTTCCCCTTAATGTTTTTTTCCCTTATGCAGCAAAGTATTACTTTCCTAAGCTTTTTTGCTAAAATTCTGTGCTGGTGAAACCAAGTTTGACAACCAAAAACCTCAATGCTAGAAGAGTAAGAATGGTGAAAGCATCAGGATAATCTCAACATCTGGAAGGGCTTTTAGCTCTAAAATAGGAGGTAAGGCTCCATAAAGAAATTCTTAACCTTTGAGGATAATGTGGAATTCTATTCTATTGCCTCTAGAGAATTTCATCGTGGTCAGACGTGAGTGAACCGTCTCTTCCCTGTATTTTTCAAGAGTAGGATCAGTTCTGTAAGTTGTATAAAGCTCGGGCAAACAACTCTGACCAACGTCATTCTCTTTCTGTATTCTGTCTCTGACAATTAGTCCAGTCTTTGGTAGATGAGAGGCACAGAGGTAACCCTCTCAGCTTTGTGGGGGTGCCTTCTGGGAAATAGCTGCATGGACCCCAAATGAGCAATGGGCCCTTTGATGGGGAACTGGAGGTTTGCAGCAGATCCAAATCTTCCAGTCATCTTTTCCTGGGACCCAGTTGTGATATAAGTGAATGCTTTTGACAAAATATGCTGAAGCCCCTTTTGCCTTAACCCTCTTCCCTGATACACACCTGTGGAAAAAACAACCTTCTTGGTGATAAGTTTGTAATCCACGATAGAGAACTGTGGAAGTTCAATCTTTGTCACTCCTGTTACTGCATTATCATCCCCACGCCAGTAAAACTCAATGTCATCGGTGGTATATCCATCTGTAAAAGGAAGCACACACACACACACACACACACACACAGATACACAAAATAAAAAACAAACAAAACAAAGAGTACTTGTTTACAAGATGAACTATATTAATGATAACAGCCACAGCTAAAGGCTATTATGTGTTAGGTATCACGCTAAGCACCTGAAGTATATTACCACATTTACTTTTCACAACAGTCTCATGAGGGGAGTATAATTAGGCCCACATGAGGCAATGAAGGTTTAGCGAAATTAACAGCTTGCAAGTAAGAGGCAGCATCTAGTTCTAACTTGCACTCATTTTCTAAAACACTATCACATTATTACATGACCCTGGATAGTACTCTAACAGAAAACAAAAGAGAAAGTAAGTATCATTTAACTTATCAGTGCAGTATTGAATGCTATCAACCCCCCCATAAAAAAGTTTTGAATTACAATATATTTGGGTTTCAAGTCAGAAGAGATTATAAGGAATTGAGTCATCATTTTTTAAATATTCATAGACATTGGTCAGGGGTAGCTTTTTGGAATTTAGATATGCTGCAAAATCAAAATCTCCAAATTTGATTTTGCAGCATATCTAAATTCCAAAAAGCTACCCCTGACCAAATAACCCCAAACAGGAGTAATTCCAATAGTTTTAAAAGTAAATACAAATGTATTATGTGCACTATAAAAGGCACAGTGCATTTAGGAGGCTTGTTTCCACTTTCTCAATAATTATTTCTTGAGCACCTACTATGCTCATGAGTGTACAGTTGCTGGGGATAGAAGTCTGTATAATAAAAACAAGTCCTCTGTTATAATGATACTTTCAATCCACGAGGCAGAATAGAATAAGCACACATATCTTGGTGAGTAAGCATATGTGTAACTGCAATGAATAAACACCTATTAGATTATTAACAGAACTATACAGAGAAGCATGCAATGAAATCCATTAAATCTTAATATTTTACAAACACACCCACCCCAATATCCCACCTGCAGAGCATAAATTGTATTTGTATATCATATTTCTTAAAAGAACTTTTGCATCCAGAGAGCTGAATTTTTACAAGTCTAAGAAGTAGACAGGTCAGATATTGCTCCCCAATTTAAAGCAAAAAGCAAAACAAAACAAACAAAAACAAAACACAAACAAAAAATAAAAAATAAACCCAAAAATAAAAAAAAAAAACTAGTTAAAAAGGTTGCTTAAATTCTTTTTGACATGTGACTTAAGTTCTTTTTGCTTTTTGACATGTGACTAGTTAGTGTTATACAGGACTAGAATATCAGTCCTTTCATTCTTAGCTCTTATAATTTTCATTAAATCACATTTCTTCCAAAGAAAGCAAGTCAAATTTCCAAGAGTAGAAATGGATTATTTTTCAAAGAATTACAGTGCTCTCAATTCGAGAATCTACATCAACCATAGCACAGCTCAGACAATGTCTTAACTTTTCTAGAAGTCTGCATTCTTCTTTACTCATAAGAGCAGCCATCTTTATCTGATGCAGAAATACAGATTTTTGTAAAGAGTCAATGAGAACTTGAACTTCTGGCTCCATAACTATAGGCCTTTAGATAATAGCTAATGATTTTCAAAAAGGCCTGTTTACTTGCAAACATCATAAAGTACATTGTAATCACAATTGTCAGGGTGCCTGGCTGGCTCAGTGGGTAGAGTATCTGACTCTTGATCTCGTGGTGAGTTCAAGCCCCACATTGGGCATGGAGCCTACTTAAAAAAAAATTGTGGATATTTAACAGATTATACACCACCAACATTTTTCTTAGCATGATATCTTTTAAAGCCACTTATTTTGTTAGAGAATGTCTTTCTTCGCATGAAACTTTGATTTAAAAGCAAATTATTCATAATTTTAAGAAGGGGAGTCCAGGTACAAAGTGAAAGGCACAGTAAAAATATTCTTCTCTTTCTCCATTAGTCTACCCCATTAATATTCTCTATCTAATCCTAAGAACTGTCCCAAACAACAAGTGCTTTTATCTGTGATTTCAACTTTCTTAATATGGCCATGGGAATCCTCATAATCCAGGACTTCATCTCGAATATAATCCCGTTTCTCATTGGTTATTTGCACACAGCTCTCAGTTATGAAATTATTTAATCAATGACAATCCCATCTTGGCCAAACCAGTGTTAAATAACAAAAGAGGGCACCTGGCTCAGTTGATTGAGCTTCCTTCCAGCTCATGACACTGTAAATTGGATTTGTGGTACATAAACATGAAAGAAGGTATTTATGAAACAAGAAGGCCATCGTTTTCTAGGGGAAAAAAATTGTCAAATGCTGCCATTTTCAAACGAGAATGGGAGTAAAGTCAACTCTTACATTTGCAATAAGAACTAAGTCTAAATTAGTAAAGAGTGTGTTTCTGGTTCTCCAGCTTCCTTTCCTCAGTTTTTATCTTCTCTCGTCCACTGCTACAAATCTTCTCACAGAAGCTCTCTGTGGGCAGAGGCATGGGAATATCTATGGCATTTCAATAATTATATAGGCAATGCCTCACCGTTGTTTAATAAGTAGAAATATTATCATGAAATATAGATTTTTGTGAAAATGCCAGCTATCTGACATGTGTTTGCTAGATAATTCCTGGCAGAGGAGAGGCACTTGGGATATATTGTTGAATTAGTAAAATATTTATTTAACACATGTGTGGATTTGGGTGATGGTTGCTTATCCAGATGCTTGGCATTGTGGAGGTATTCATCATGTCTATACCCCTGTTTCTTGCTCCTAATACAGTACCTGGTACAAAGTTGTATTAGATAAATATCTTCTGAGTGAATAAAAAAAAGCCACCCAAAGATAACACAGCCCTTAAGAAAAATCCAAAGGTTCTTTATTATGTATTTACCCTTATGTAATAGCTCAGCAAATTGCTTAACCTTTCTCTGTTCTTCATTTCTTAATCTGTAAATTGTAACAATAAACAATAACAACAACAAAAGCTACCTCATAGAGTTGTTATGCAGGAAACACGAGTTGTTACTTACAAAATGCTTAGAGCAGTACCTGATAGATAATGCTCAAAAAGGTTAGCTAATAGTTTCTTTTCAAATAAGAATTATTGTAAATGAATTAAAAACTCATATTTCATTGCATGTCACCTGGCTTCTATTTTATGAACACTTGAACACATTTACACAATGAGAAACTTGGGTGTCCAATGACACACCCTCTGGTGTGTTTGTAAATCGAAAATGAGACATTGGAAGTTTATTTTGATGTCAAACATTTTGGAATCTGACATAATGGAGCATCATATTTGTAATATTTCTTAGTTACTGCTGGTCTTAAAAACTGCTATCTTCTTGACTTCATTTTGAGTTAACCAAGTATGGAATGCTGCCAATGGAAAGCAAATGTATGCTCTTGCATCACCGATTTCTAAAGACCAAAGACCAACAGTTTATGACTGTGCCAGGGTGGTCAAGTTCCAAATCCAGCTCAATACACTGTGTAGGATAAACTGAAAGCAGACCTAGTTTTATTTATTTTTCTTTTTCTTCCTCTTCTTTAAAAAAAAAACAAAAACAAAAAACAACTTCTCTGAAGGAATATTTAACAGTGTCTCAAAGTGATTAAAAATAAAAGAAAACATATGCAAATATGTATGACCTGACTTTTACAGCTTTCGTAACGATAATGAGTGAAAAATAATTAGATATCTTTTAAAAGCTATCAGGAGGAGATGCACTGAAACTTCTCATTAATGTCTTGCAAATTAAATTCATCTTTTATATTTTATTCATGGGATTCCAGAAACTGAGTCATTAAATTATATTGTATTATTATCATTAAAAACATAACCCACATAAACTCAGATGGACTATAAATAAACCAAAATATAACTTCACTGGAATCTACCTGAAGGAATTAAAATTGTACAAAATGTTAAAGTTTCTGATCAGGACAGATAAACAAATACATTTAAAAATCTATGTATGTGAATGACAGATATACTGTCATACACTGATAAAAATATGTACTACATGAGATCTAAGGAGCAAAATTATCACGTTAAACACATTCACATAATAAATGAATGTGTTCTCACAATTGTGACATTATCTTATTACATAACATGGCATTTAAAAAAGTTTTTTCTCTCTTTAGTGTCAGTCTACTTGTCTATTTTGTTATCTACTAAGTAAATATTTCATTTCAGATGAAATATTTTTACTGTGCAAGAAATATGAACCTATACCAAGATATTAAACAGTGAGGGCTGGTGAGAACATTTAGAAGAAATGGATTATAAATGCCACCATTTTTTTTTTTTCCTAGTGAGAAATTAAAGAGACCTATTGTTTTCTTGTTGTTCATTTAAACTTTGTTCTCCAATTGGACTGTTAAATGTTGTAGGGTAATTATTTTCTGTCTCCCATTGTAGCCAACATAGCAACTGTAACATAGTAGTTGCTTTAAACTGCTAATTCTTGGTCATCACAACCAATTGTTGATGTTTGAGGATTAAGGGCTAGTGTTATTGGGACAATCCACTCTAGTCATGGATGGTTTCAATTTTTTTAGGAACTATCTTATCTCGAATTTCATGCCCTTTTATGTGTCTATCACAGCACTCCACAAGTTTTTCTGAATTGAAAACCTCATTGTAAAAATTTTAGCATGTCGCTCTATTAGTATTTAAATTTTTATGTGGTTACTGTTATCGGTATATAAGTAACTATTATTAAAACTTAAGTTACATTCTGAGAAACACTAATCCTGTAATGTGCTTCATGGAAAAGGGTTCTAAGTAAATGTATTTGGGAGTAACTGTGCATTTCGGGCCCCTCTTGTAGTCACAAACATTTAACACAGTAAAGTTTAGATAATTCCTCAATAAAGAATTTGCTTAATATTACTTACCCCTGGCATTCTCCGTACCTATTTGACCAGAGACATTTTTTTAGGACATAAAAAATATCCATCCAAATGCAATAATTCCATAAAATGCTAGAGTTAGTCACACATTTTAGGGTGCT